GACTCTGTAACAATCCTATAATATTTTCTCAACCTTACTCCTTACTATAGTGATACACTGGTGAAAAGACTTTAAATAGAAAGTACAAAGATAATAGCCAATAAAACCTGATAATATTTCTAGGTATTTTTCTGATTCGTAATCAATGTCAGGATGTAGTTTTAGTAATCTTGTGAAAACTTGTAAGGCAAAATTTCTTAGAATGGTAATTGTGTCTTCAGTTTCTTATATTTCATACAGCACTATGTATACAATACATTTTCATGTACAACTGTTCAGATATAAAAGCAGCAACTTGCTCTTAAATTGTTGTATTTGAAAATGTCCAAGATATTAAATGAAGAGTTGTTGGAAAATGTTTTTAAAAAACTAAAATTGAAAATAGGGAAATTAGTTTCATGTGAGGATAATCAATTAGTTGAATGTAATGAGCCCAATGATTAAGCAAATTCCACTAACTGCCCAGCTCTACTACAAAAGCTGCAGATTCATTGAATTTTAGTATTTTTATTTTCTGCATTTACACTGTCAGTTTCTTCTAAATAAAACTCAGCAGACACACACTGTCTGATCTGGAGAGATTAATTGCTGCTGCAGTAGCAGAAGTCAAAGAATGACATTATGACTGGTATTATCTTTAGTCTTATACTGTAGTTTCTTGATTTCTCTCCCCTTCAGGGTGACCACATTCTTTCCACAAAAGTTATAATTTTCCTGAATGAAAATGTATTTCTGATAGCTACCTCCCTCCGTTTACAAGATTAGCTTTTCTCGTTTGGTGCTGCCCTCTATATGCAAACTTTTTTCAGAAACACATGCCACAAGCCTTCATCCTCCCTGTGTTGGAACTCAAAGTTTCAACACGTCTCTCATGCAAATCAACATGCGTCACCTCTCCACTAATAGGAAAGCACTATTATCACGCAACACCTTCTACACACCACTACAGAACTATCATATCGAAGTTTGGCAGAAGACGCGAGCACCAGAAGATTGTGGGGAGGATGGGTGGGAAGTGTGATTGGAGGGAAGTACATTTCAGAAATACATTTTCATTTAGGAAAATTATAGCTTCGAATAAGGTACTCTCCCTCCACTCACAAGATTAGCTTGAATCCCACATTGAAATGGGGAAGGGACCATTGCGAGGGAAACACAAGTATATTACCTGGAATCATCCAGAGGACACCCCCAAAATGTGAGTAGCAGATCAGTTGATCTGAGGAGGGGCACCTCACCAAATCTTTGCCAGGAACATCAACATGATCAGGAGAACCAGACATGGTGTAATGTGAAGGGAGCACATCCACATGGGAGAGGATATTTTAGAAATGTGATCTTAAACAGAAATCAGAATCACTCACTCTCACGATGGATTAATGATTAATCCATGTTCATGGAACCTATCCAGCAGGTTGCCTCCATGGTCAACCACCCCAGCAGCTTGTAAGTGGTAAGAACTCATGTACTCCATCGGAAGAAAGGGGGGAAAAGTGCAGTGGAGAGTCAGGAGGGACTTTTCAACACCAGTGGCAGTGCAATGGGTGATCATGAAACCCTATTTGAAAAGCAGACCACACTGATTTGGAAAATGTATAAGAATCAATATGGCTTACAGTGCAGATATGATAGCAAAAACCTTATCATGGCCCAAGAGGTCCTAACAGCAAGCAAACCACGTTTGAAGTGCGAGAGCTAAAGATGACAGATGAGCCAATGTAGAAGGATGAAAAGGATTTCAGCAGAAAACCCCCTCAGGGTTCCTGTGAAGAGTTTCTGACAGAAGGTGACATGAAGAAAGGTACATGAACAGGGTCGTGAGAGTGAGCCAAAGTGAGAAAATTGGGTTTGGGTAAGTTGGACAGGGTAATTTGGGTTTGTCTCTCAAACAGGTAGAACTGCCTCCCAACAACTGTTGGTCGAGAAAATGAAAGTCTGCCCGATGATGAGGAAGGGCAGACTGATCTAAAGTCTGTGGGGTGACGAGGCATACTAATGCCTTCCCCAAGTTGAGAGGCAAATCGGTCCAAGTGAACTCAAATATCAGGGGAAGAACTAAATAGAGTCGGAAAGTTTCATGTAAGAGGGAAAGTCTAGGGCTATAGGAAACAGGTGTCAAAGACAAAACATCACATACCTGAAAGATAAAGTCTAAAAAGACTGATAATGGATGAGCTTAATCATCAGGTAGTGAATGGGAAGGCGCGTCAAACTCCGGGTTTGGAAACAAACAATCAAAATTGTCAACAGCCTGGTCTGGCCCGAATGGCTCAGGAGGAAGTGGGGCAGAAGTAAGCAAGAGAGGATGGCTCATATACTGCTCAATCTCCCAGCAAATGAATGGTGATATATCCCCCAACAGCTCGCCCAGCTCGTTGCTGAAAATACAGCATCAGACGCTGGCGTAGTACCCGAAGCGATGACTGTAACTTCAGAACTCATAAGCAGGAAATAATGAGGAAGTAATGCTTTATTAAAATATTAACTCCACAACTGTGAAGTGTTGGAAATAAAGAAAAAATATTAAAAATGAAAAAAATAAACCACTCCAAGGTAACTGAATAATGTAAAAAAAGAGTGCCTGAACTCGACAGCTGCCAACCGAGAAGTGATAGTTTGGTAGTGGTGCACAGAAGGAGTCAAATGAGTCATGTGATAGTACTGCTCTCCTATTGGTGGAGAGGTGATGCATGATGATTTGCATGAGAGACATGTTGGAACTTGGATTCCAACAGAGGGAGGATGAAGGCTTGTGGCATGCGTTTCTGAAAAAAGTTCGTATATAGAGAAATGAGAAAAGCCAATCTTGTGAGAGGAGGAGAATACCTTATTGGAATTAATCTCTAACTCTTCTAGACAAAATTGTACAAATTTAAAACCTATACACGAGCACATGACATACTGGTATTTCAATTTTTATTTATAAAATAACATTTCATCCTAACCTATCATCAAATTTAATGAAATAGATAATTATTATCAGATAAAGTAACACAGAATGACTGATCTAGATGTGGTAAAATACACCAACAATAGACTTACCTGAGCAGCATGGTTTACATGGATGTATCAAGATTAAAAAATAAATTAAATATGGGGGGGGGGCTACAATCTTTCTTAACCATGACCATCCTGTTTTTCACAGTTATAGAACATATACAGCAAAAGTATATTTTGATTTTATCCTACAGTCAACAAGTATTACACACTCAATTATACAGTACTTGTTCTCACATGTAGCTTTTGATTTTTTTTACTATTTCAGTGGCAAAAAAAGTTCCTGACAAATGCTTTTGGGTTTTCAAAACGTTTTGGTTAAGTCAGGAATGAAATGTAAACAGAAAACTCTCACTTCACTATTTAATGCCTCAAAGTCATGATTGTCAATATCAATAAAACTCAATTTTCACTGACAGTGACAATGTGTTTTAACTTCACTTTTCAATTAAATGCTCTCTCCCTCTTCTTTTTTCCTACAGAATATTTCATTGTGTAGACAAGTGAATTCTCTTCCTAAAAATTGTCAAACGATAGCAGCACTGCAGCATGATTCAACAATATCAATGTAGCATCTTACATAGAGGTCCCAAAGAAATCAAGAATGGTAAGTTGTATTACGGTGTCTTATTTGTTTAGGTATAGGAAAGTGAATCCCAATCCTAAAAACTTTGAAAATCCAATATATAAAAATATGTTCTGTATTTTACTTTTAATACTGATTTGTACATTTACTGGAAAAATAAAGTTTAGACCACCTTAAACTATGTCGGTCCTTTTTTTTTTCACTCCATGGAGAATATACATTACAAAAAAAAAAACACACAACTCTAAAAAATATTTGACTCTATTTCTTGTATTAAACATACTTTTTAATAAACTTTGAGATAGTAGCACGAGTTACAGGTTCACCGAGTGATTTACAACTTGTGTGACAGGATTATTGGTTAGATACCATTCAAATGGCAATAAAACAATAAAAGTTAAGTGGAAACAGATGTATACTGTTACAAGCTTTAAACTATTTAGGATAAACAAACATAGTTTGCTATTACAATTTTCAGTTATTCTAAAATTCAAAAAAAGGTAATTTATATATATTTCATATTTTTTTATGGTGGTTATGAGGTTGATCAAATTGACCAAATGCATATAGAGGTAAGTTACAGAAAATAACAGATAAAATAATGTTTGATATTTATTTAAGAGGTTTCAGAGTTTACGCACATGAAATTTCATAATTTTCATATGAAGAAAAGTATTTTTCAACGTAATATGAAAGTCATTTTGCAGTCAAACCTTATTGCAGAATTATGTTGCAATAAATATCATGTTGAATCTCCTGTTAATCTGCAATCCCATCCCACTGTTCTAAAGAAAATTAGTTTTACCTTAAAATACCACAACTGAAAGACTGTCATTCTACTTTGTTCTTTGGTTCCTTTTTATTGGTCTTAATCTATGTAACCACTTTTTGATTGCTATATAGAGATTTGCCTTATATTGTTCTAACAGAAAAAAATGACCCCTTTCTCAATAATGTCATGTTCACAAACTGTTACTACTGAAAAATGGTCAACAAACATACAATGTAAACAAGTTTAATATTGTAACCAAGTTCTGGATAATTACAGATGGTAAACTATGTTTCTTCTTACCCCATGAAATCTTTGGAGAGTTAACGTAGTTGGCACTGAATTGGTGATTTTGACATTTTACAGTAACTTTCTTAAAGAGCATGCACCAAGATAACTGCACATGGTAATTGACATAGCTAATAAATTAAATCACCTGCAGAGAGATGTTATATCATTGATACCCATAACTATTCATATTTCTTACACATACACACTTACATCAAATGTAGGTCAAAGAAATCTTGTTTAAGGAACATGTACAATTATGTATTATTTCACGAAACTAATAGTTCACTCACATAAGCAAATATTTCAAATGGGAAGTATGCATCCTTTAGATAAAAAATAATCAAAGGAAAAACTTACAATTTGTGGTTTCAAAGTGACCTAGTGTTTAGAAAATCTTCCACAAAAAGCTAGCTTATATGAAAGCTTTAAAGTTCACCATGAGTAGAAATGGGTTGTCCACTTTACTACCTTTGATGAAAGGAGGACTCTTAAATCCATCTACATGTAAAATTGGGAGACTCAAGAACAATGAGTTTTCACTTCCCCTTCAACTAATAAAAACTTCTCCCAGTATCTTTAGTTTATCAGTTTTTTCTGTTAGTCATTAGTTTTATATCTCCACTGAAAACAACAAATCTAATGAACCTCAAACTATTACTTACTCTTTTTCATATTCACCTTGCAATTAAACTTCCAATTTTCCTACTTATAATACTCAAGCACAGCCCAACACAGCTGAATCCTCCAAAATAAATCTGCATTTTCAGAAGCTTTATAAACTGTATCAAAAACACACATGGTACCATCAACATGAAATGTCTTTTCAAACAACACACACTAAAATATGATCAATTATTTCTTATACTAAAAACAACAGAATCAGGTGACAGTCATTTTTGTAATAAAACGCATTAAACACTGTCCTAGAACTCTTGAAAATCAGAAAAGGCTTCCAAGAAAAAAAACATTTAATATCTCAACAAACAAACTTTTATGTATCTTTATAGTCCTACATATGAATAACAGATGCTCAGTGAACTTGTACCTTAAATGATCCTATCTAAATGTTAGAGATGAAATGGTGTACTGGGATAAAACAACCCACAAATAGCTGTTTCAAAACTTCATATTGTTTTCAAGCTGAGTGGGTACCTCTCAAAGAAGCAAGATACTCAGTGGAACTTATATACCAAATTGAAACTGCTTTAACTATAATAATACTAATAATAAAACTAAAAAAACTACATCATCTCAAAGCATTAAACCACAAACTGTCCCTGTTCCTTAAGAACTCACCAACTGTAATAAAGTTTTAGTAAGTATAGTACCTATTTTCATTTCCAAGTATCTCAAACAAATAAATATGAACACATAGACACCAAATACTGGAAAAAAACTCGTGGAATCCAACAACACTAGTGATCAATTCCAATATCATCAAGCTTTCAGACAGATCACTGTCTGATGCTTAAATCAGACATCTCAACAAAGGTTTAAATTTTTGCCACACAATCTTATTAATAAACTTGAAGTTCTCTCAGACTTTCTAACATTTTCTCAAAAACTAAGCCTCAGATAATGTTTTGACAACAAACCTCATTCTTCTGATCTTCAATTATCACTCACTTTCAAAGAGAAATTCTCATGGACACCTCCTACAAACAGAGAAGGACATTTAGAAAATTATATTAAAGTCATTCAAAGAGGCATTATTGGTACTATAAAGTCATCCAAACATTCTCAAAATAACATTAACTCAAAGAAAAAATTTGCCTTAAGAACCTTAAATCTCACACAAATATTAAAATAGAACCTGCTGAAAAGCGTGGCACTATTGTTAATATCTACAAAAAGTACTATATTACTAAAGCTAATCATTAACTTGATGACTCTAATTTCTACTAAAATCTAACACAGAATCCTAAAAAATAATTCAAAGGAAAACAATTAGCAAAAACATCATTTACAACTTGCCCAGAAAGATTTTACCTTTTACCAAAAGAACAAAAAGCTAATAATCCATACTATCCTATCATCACTAATACAAATATGAAAACCAAAAAGTTATCTATATTTTATTACGAATTATAATGTTTACAGTATACAAGATTGTTTTTAAAACAGATAAGATGTTTTGATAACTGGTGCGAATCATTCTCTAATACACAAGTTTTAATGATAAAAAACATTTTAGTATCTAAATC